TAGTATGTATTTGCATGGTCTAAAGTCTTTATAATTCATAGTGAAACTACAAGCTTTGCTCCATAGTATTTCATTATTTGTTGAATTTTTGTTGCTATTATTGTGGTGAACACACAATAAGCCCACTTCTCAGCTGGGTTAGATAAAAGATGGATTTTATTTTGATTTGTAGGTACATACATTGTTTCTTTGGATTAACATTTGCTGCATCCTGTACATAAATTTGTAACAAAGTATTAAAATAGCAATCGATTTTTTCGGCAATGGAGGCTGATGCCCTGCCAGCGGCAGATATAACCAATTAGGTAAATTTCATTATTGACGCTAGTCGGAAAAGCCAGAGAAATGAGCAATCAATGTTAAAGGTATTTGCGTGCAATGACACTCGATTGTGACATTTAGTATTTGTGCGTTTGCTTCGGTTTCAGCCAATGTCAAATTGAAAATGTCTATAATTGAAAACTAAGCGTATTAGTAAGCATTTTTGAGCTTTGGTTTAGCTACCCTTTCTCTCTGCAACATGACATCACAAATCGCATAGCAAACACAAAAGCATGCATACATACGTACATACATAAATTGATGGTATGTATTTTTAATCGATTTTTGAGATAAGTATGTTTGTTGATTTCGTGGCGCCCGTCGTGGCTTAGTGATTAGAGTTGCGCACTATACTTCGCTTAAAGCGTTGACTTCAAACTTCAATGAAACACCCATCCAGAACTACGAAGGTATTAATAACATCAAAAAATATATTTTTGGTTTTAATTTGCGCCTATTTTTCTAGAATTGGTGGGCGATAATTTAAAGCGATTTTGACGTTCTTTCATACTTATGCTTTCCTGGTTAAGACTAGCATATACCGTGAATTTCATCAAAATCTGAAAAACATTTACCATTTCCACCCACAAGAGCTGTGGGCGTGGCAGCGCGTCGACTTTTACCATTTTCCACATTTCTTAACTCCTAATTGCGGAATGGCGCATATACGAAATATCAGCAAATTTGTTGGACGGTTACTGCTTTTGGCTGCAGCGGCAGTGAGGAATCCCATTGTGCACAGGAAATAAAAATTTCAAAACAAAATTTTGGGAACATCAATTTTTTTTAACATGAACTGGACATTGTATACAGTGGGAGGTACCTACATGTGTACAAATTCACCTCGCTCCTATCAGAAAAACGGCAGTATGTGCGGATTACCAAGCCGCGCAGTTATAGGATTGAATCCCATGGCCAGCAAACATTTAATTTAATAAACTACAAATAATTGTGTGAAATAACAAAACGAAAACAAAAAACAGAAGAGTTATTTTTAAAAACTCGCTCCGATTTTTGCTCAAACTAGGCTGCTACTGAGTTATAGTATACATTCACTCGGCTTAATTGTACCTGAGGCTATATTTTTTAATAAAAAAACATTTTATTAAACCCATCGCGAAGAAAAGGCAGAACAGATGAATCTGTCTGCATGGCAGTCAACTTCTTCTAAATCGAAGCTTCACTGTATTTCTCAGTTAAGTGACATCGCTGTTTGTTTGGACAACTCCAAAGCTGTGACACGGCATTTTTATACCAAAAAAAACCTTAAACAAGGAATAGATTAAATTTGCGATGGAACCTTAAATATTTTTACGTGCAGAAAAAATTTGTTCAACGAGTACCCAAAAAAAATAAAACTCAAACTCATTGCATTTTCAACCGAATGCATTCATCATCAATGAAGCATCTAATGTGTTCACATTTTACCCATTTGGCAATCGCATTCACACAACCACCAGACAAAACCGAATTCACCAGCAGAGTGTTGGCGAAATACTCTTTCATTAGCAGGTCTAAGAGGAAATAGAGCAAAATAAGTAGAATCCGTGGATGGAGCACTTAACCGGCGCGTAATTTACGAGTACGCGCTTCAATGCACACGCCAGGTTAGTGAACTCCCAGAAAATGCCGCCAGCACTCCCCCCGCCCGCTCTCCTTCCAACCGCACTCCCAAATGTTCACCTATTCATTGCAAGCTGGTATGGCTACAATTTGGCACCAGCGAACAAAGGAAATGTAGTACGAAAGAAAAATTGTTCAGCCGCAGCGCAACGATGAACTGCAGCAGGCGGGAATTCCAGGCAGGAAATTACGAAAAATGTCGGCTATTGACGCTCTAATTTGTTGGTGTTTGTGTGTGTGTGTGTGTGTTTGTTGTTGTTGAGTGCGTTCGGTGTAAACTAGCTGCAGAATGCTACAAATCATTAAAGTTAATTTCCACTAGTTATTACGGCTACACACTTTCCGTTTGCTTCACTTTCCGTTTGCAAACACTTTAGCAAACTTTTTCTTTTACCTGGGATGCTTTCGCATTAGCAAAAATGTGCGCGCAAATGCCGGCGGCGGCAGTAGCGATGATGATGATGATGTTACCACTACAACTGCATCGCGCGGCGCAAGAATTTCGCAGATTATTAAAATGAGAAATTGCATTTTTACAGCTTTCGGCTGCAGCTGCTGTACTTAATGTGAGCATTGTGCGCGGAAATATGGCAACGCCGTCGACACCAACACCAATGGTCGGCATAATTTCGGGCGCAGCGAGTTTGTGTTAACACAAACAAAAAAGGGAAACGCATCTCATTTGCGAAGTTTGCAACTCGTTTGTGGTTGCATTTGGTTTGTAAGCTTTTGTCCAATTACTTAAAGTTGTACTTAAATATGATGAATGCCTTTGGGACTTTGAAGGCTAAGGTAATGCAATGTTTTACTAAAGGAGCGAAACTCATCTGTTTTTTTTTTTTCAGGGACTTAACTTTGTCTGAATTGGCTGTTGTTCCTTCTTTCTCAGCGGATGTCATCATAAATAGATTTTATGAATAACAAGAAAAGAAGTATAAGTTCGGGCGAAACCCGAAGCTTATGCGAAAATCGGTTTGGTGAATACGTCCCATATTTAACCATAAAGTTTTTGATAGGCATATGTAGAATATCTTAGTAGTAGCCTTTTTGGTACCCGCTGAGGCGTGTGCATAATAAAAATTCAGTTTTCGTCCAAGGTTACCCTACCTATTTTGACTCATGCGATGAATAAATCAGCAGACTACATTGTACGGGTTTAATTAAATTTACTTTGCTTATATTGGTGAATGTAACGGTAGCAGGGTGCCGGCTTTACTCACAATTATTTTAAGGCTGCCTGCAATCGGATGGAAAACACATGAGTGGTATTCACCAAATTGCGTAAGGCCTGGCACTATGGCAAAAGAGCAGTTGAGCTCAAGCAACGACTGTTGACAACAGTCTCAATTTGGTGAATGCCACTATAGCGTCTTCCAGCCACAACAGCGCACACTCATAGACGACTAACCATCTCCATAACCGTAAGCATTGAATCCGTTGCCTTTTAAGTTTTCCACGAAATCACTGGTAATCAATGTTGTGGAATGCAACTTTGCTAAGTTTTTGATTAGAAAGGAACTGAAGCTAATTGGTCTATCCGCCTTTCGGAGTTTCTAAGCACATCCACAATTTGGGTGTAAATATAATCCTAAGCTTCTTCAATGAGGATAGTATGTCGACCACGAGTAGATTTTCTCGGAGTAACTGGTGAATCCGAAATTATCATCACTTGATTTTCTTAAAAGCTTTATTGCATTTCGGCCAATTTGTGTTTGAGCGAAAGCAAATCAGAAGTTTTTCTATCAAAAGTATGACACTCTCTGGCATTTGACAGTACCATATTCGTCTTTCTTTCAGTATAAACACGGCCCAACTATGACCTACTTATACTACTCGGTTTTCATTCGATTTAAGCAATTCGGGGTCCAAACTACCTTGTGGCGTATCGGGTACACAGCCTAACCTACCCAGCAAGAATAAATATTTGGCTTTAGTGTTGATAGTGTTGCAAATAGCAATGATTTATCAGGAACAGCTTAGAAGTTTTTCTGCTGGAACTATGGCAAGCAACAATTTCTGAACTTCAATCACAATTTGATATTAAAAATACTTCTTTTTTGGCCTTATATCTTACGCTTGTGATAAGGAAAAGTAAGATAAATTAATAGATTATTTCCACTTTTCGTGCATTTAGCAAAAGGTTTATAAATTTTATCCATAAAAGGGCTGAGTTTTATGGCAGATAATATGCCATACATTCCTGCAAAAAATTGTTGCGTCTAAGCTTTAAAGATAATATTCTGGGTTTACTCTCAATAAGCCCCCGACTCATCTCTAACGGATACTATCAAGGAATTAATGATATGTACATACTTAGTCAGTGAAATTTCATGTGCGGCGTTGGCACATAGAGAGAGTAGTCGCTTAACAAACCGGATCGCGGCTGGTTCGGATTGCGGCCGGCGAAAATTTTAGTTTTAATTTTATTTAAAGTAACTAATTACTTTTTGTATCCATTCGGGTATAAAGGGGAATACGTAATTAGTCTCTTCATAGGACATGCTCGAACAGAAGCGAACAGTTCATTCCATATAAAGAGATCCAAACTGGTATTGGTCACATGTTCCTTTGCGATTGCTCCCGGAGTTATCCCGGATTAGTCGCATTTTTTTCAGGGATTCTACACAATTTTTTAACAGATATTGCATACATACATATATTAATATTTACACACAGACCGATAAATACATATGCACCTATAAATAATCCCTCAACTAATGCCTCAGCAATTATAATAAAATTCCCACCTCCGCACAGCATGCTTTGACAAACACACAGACAGCGCTCTAATAGAAACATTTTATCAGCTAGAAAACTTGTTAAATTTTTTGCGGTGCAATTGAGCGCATCATTCAGCTTGCAGCCATTTATTTAACGAGTAGAAAAATGCCAGGCACACTCGTTTGGTTTAGCATTCGTCTCAACGCGCATTGCATGTGAATCCAATGCCAAGTGCAGCGGCGCGTAATTTAAAAATGTGTTTCTAATAAAATATTTTCATAATTAATTAAACGGAATAATCTTGAGTCAGTGTAGAACAAAAATTACAAACAAAAATGTCAATTGAATGCAATGAAGATGAACTTGTGCCGCCTAAGTGGTTGGATGGAGCATTCTTTCAGAAAGTGGCTGGGAGTATAGAAAAGTGCAGTGGTGATCCGAAGGTGGGACGTTATTAAAGAGAAAAAAAAAATGTATTAAATGTAGCAAATCGCAAATAACAAGAGCGGTTTAGTTAGTTTTTAATTTTACTTAAATTTTAAGCAAACAGGGTTGCACCAAAAAAATAAAATGCATAAAACAAAGTGTTAATAAATGTATGTATGTATGTGGGATGCATAAACTTCGAATCATGCAAATCAGATCACGAACGAGACTGACTTAATTGACTTATAATGGATTTCCACTGAGCATTAACTGGCAAAAATCTCTTATGAAATAGTTATGCCGAATTTCCACTAGGCTTTGAAGTGACAAAAAAATTGGTGCCATTTAAAAAATGCAATGTGGAAATGAACTTTATGACTATGGTTTAACGTAATGACAAGATTATTTTTAATGCTCAATTTTGTCCTTAAAATTTTTGCAATTTAATGACTAGTAGAAATCCAGCATTAGGTATTGCGTTGTTAGATTCATAAAAAATTAAATTTTTTCACATTGCATTTTTAAATGGCACAAATTATATATATTTTTTTTTTAATCAATGTCTAGTGGTAATTAGGCTTAAGTTTTGCCATTTTTTAATATATAGCATTGCGGGAATGTATTCTTTCTTGTGCCGTAAGCGTATCTGGCAACTCTGTTACCTTCGTCTTTGTGCGGCCTCTTACGGCAGCCAGCATAAACTCACCAGCCTGCTTTTGACAAAACATATAACATCATGGTTGAAATGCAGAAAGTCATAACTAATAAAAAAATCAAAATTCACTTTTTGATTTATATGATGGATTTCATCGAAGTAAACCTCCCCACATCATTTTATGAAAAAATAAAAAATAACACTGGTCTACAAGGGTTTTGCGAATAAGACGGGACCTGGTGTTTCCGAACGGATTTTTCGTGCTGAACACGAATCTGGGGTCCAAAACTTCCCATCACGTCACGTTTTCGAGAAAAAAGGGGTTGAAACCCCTAAAAACAGCGTTTTTGGCCATTTTTGAAAAATTGTAGAGCTGAACCCTGACGTGCTACAAACTTTGTATATGTCAGAAATTAAAGGCTAAATCGTGCCCTTTCGAATGAGCCCTATGCCGAATTAATCGCATGCACCCTTAGATCAGGGGGTGTATTTGTGTCTAGGAGTCCAATTTTTATATCCACCATATTCGACCCGTCATCTTAAATTTTTAAAATCTAACTGCAGATTCGTAATCAGCGACTTTTAATATAGTTAAAACCTTGGCATTATTAATTTTCTATGATCGTTTAAGATTAAATTCTTTCTGTGATCAATTTTTCCTGCACCCCTAAACACAAATACACCCCCTGCTTTAAGGGTGCACGCGATCAATTCGGCATAGGGCTCATTCGAAAGGGCACGGTTTAGCCTTTAATTTCTGATATATGCAAAATTTGTACCACGTCAGGGTTCAGCTCTATAATTTTTCGAAAATGGCCAAAAACGCTGTTTTTAGGGGTTTCAACCCCTTTTTTCTCGAAAACGTGACGTGATGGGACATTTTTGACCCCGGATTCGTGTTCAGCACGAAAAATCCGTTCAGAAACACCAGGTCCCGTCTTATTCGCAGAAAAAAAGTTGAAATTTGTAGACCAGTGTAATTAACGTCTTTTTGCATTTCAGGTGACGATATGTAAATCTTTCAGTGACTTTTGAGTAAAATAATTTTTGCCATTTTCTTTCGGGGCAGTACCATCGTTTGGCTGGATAAATTTCAAAATCCAAGGTTTTTCCTATTTCTGTATCCTTTTCAAATAAAATGATTGCATAAGGTACTAGTTAGGTATTTTTTCCAGTAATAACCTCTTCATTGAACCAGGGCCGGATTTACAAAGAAGCTTATTACCTAGATTTCTCTTTCTTTAGATAAAATTATGTGGAATATTTCTGAATTCTGTATAAAGTTTAAAAACGTGATTTATATGGTATTCGTTAAAGCATGAACCATATTTTTATAAAAGATAACAAAAAATTTTAGCTTGAAAATCTTTGTAAGTATTGAAAACCAAACACAATTAGTCCACTTTAGACCACCAGTGTACACTTAAAATCTCCTGAAGATCTGTGACTTGAAAATTAGTCCAGCCTCTCAAAAGGGAGACCACTATGCAAGCGTTATGTTTCGCGCCATTTTCAAATACAAATGCAACAACAGCACAGTCAAGGAACAGATAGTCATCATAAAAACTGTACCAGAACAGCACTCGGAGAAGTACCGGCAGCTGAGCGGCTGGCATTTCTTTGCCAATGAGGCACTTATCTACAGCGAGGTGATACCAAAATTTGAAGCTATTTGGCGGCATTATGGAGAAAATATCAAATTCGGTGGACGGTAGCAGCCAAGATCATGCTGACAACAAAATAAATTAGAGCAAAACCAAAAGTAAAAATTTCAATACAAAGTTTTGACAGTTTCTCAGTTACACTGTTAAGCACTCTTAACTTTTTACCTATCCACTCTCTGCTCTTTTACCCCTCACCCAGCGCCCTTTACAGCGCACTTCAGCCGCATCCCGTCATTGTGTTGGAAGATTTATGTCTTGCCGGCTACGACATCTTGCGCGACCGCCTGCTCCAGCTCGACGAAGTCAAGGCATGTCTGCACAAGTTGGCCTGCTGGCATGCTGTCAGCCATAAAGTGACACTGCAACAACAACGAGCCGTCAACCGCACACCACCCGTGTCGGCCGCGTCAGCAGAGTGTGAGCGCGCTGCCCGGGCGGCAGTGGTGTCGCTGCAGCACGGCCTCTTCACCGCAACGAATCTAATGAATTCGGCATACATACACAATGGCTTGCGAAACATGATTGCGGCTCTCGAGCAGGCAGGTGGACTTGAAGTTTATTTAACCAAATTGCGCGCCTTGCAGCCGCAATTGCTGGAACGTTGTCTGGAAATGAACAATGCGTACGTGGCGGCGGGGGTGGAGGGACCCATTCATGTGCTCAATCACGGTGACTTTCACACACGTAACCTGATGGTGCGGCAGACAGCAGATGGCCGCGTGGAGGATGCGGTATTTGTAAGTAGAAAAGCTTTCACGTTTATTAGTGCCAAAATTTAGAATTACAAGCCTTTGAATTCGCATTTACAGATTGACTTTCAAGCGAGCTTTTTAGGTCCTTCCTGCTGCGATTTGCAGTACTTGAGTGTGACCTTGTTCGATCGGCAGCTGCGCGATGAGAAGCGTGATGAGCTTTTCAGCTTTTATTTTCAGTGCTTTGTTGAGGGCCTGCGGCGTAAGCTGCAGTTCACTGGTCACGTACCAAGCTTTGATGACTTCACAGCAGATTGCAAACGTTGACGACATTTCGGTGTGTGTGTGCATTAGGCGTTTACTCTTATGGCAAAGCTTCTGATTCCCTTTTCTCTTTCAGAAATTTACTTGCTGGCTACGAATTTACCATTGACCGCGCTCAACCCCGCAAAGGGCTGTGATGTTGACATAATTGGAATATTTAATGAGGAAAAATATCGCAGCTTTTATTATAGAAACCCTGACTATATTGCATATTTGCGGGAATTATTACCGATATTATTAGATTAATTATGCGATACGAGACTCAAAGTGTTCCTAAGACATGTTTACAATAGTTAAATAAGTTATTTGAAATCACTGACGATCAGAGAGAGCTTTTAAGCTTGTTTAAGACTGTCAAACGTCATATATGAGTGCTGGAGCGAGCTTAAAAATCTCTGCACAGTACCAAAGTGGCCTGCACTGATTTACTTAGATCAGAAGTGGGCAGATAGAGCTTTTATACTGAAGCTGGGCTAAGAGAGCTTTTGTATAGAACGCTAAAAAAGACTCTACACCGGAAATGGACACCGCCTTGCCCGTGGGTAAAGTTATTTTAAGATTTCTATATATTTCGTATAGACACGTGCGGAGTAAAAGCTCTCTCTTCCCGTCGCTGATCTACACTTAAGCAAGGTGATTTATATCAATGACGCTTGGAAAGAGATTTTATTATGTTAATACCATATTATTTTTGCTTTGGTTTTCCTTAGTTTATTTCTTTATACTTACTTTACACTAGCTATCTATGCCCAGTTCTTCTGCTCACGAATGAAAATAGCTTGTGCTTTCATATGTACTCATCCGTAGCTTATGTGCTTGGACACATACAAGACATTGTACGCATTGGGTAGAGGTAGTTTACATTAATATTTGCCAAATAATAATTTTTTAGCTTTTCAATTAGAAATGACAACGCTTTGCTGAAAAAAACACACACAAAAACTCTGAGAAATCGAAACCTACGGTAATGTTAAGTAATCGGAAAGTGGTTTGGTATGCAGCCATTTTATGTAGGACTGTAATTCGGAGCTCACTTGGCCAAAAATTTTAATTGCCGAGATTTCGAGTTAACATTCTTCGAACCGTTTTTCATTGTGCTAAAATGCAATGACCCGTATGATTATTATTATTGTTGGGGATAGAGTACTGCGACCTTAAGGTCTATTGTGAGCCAAATGATTCGTTTCAAGCAAAAATATCTGCACAAGTAAATATGTATGTATATAAGAAAATATTTATGTACAAAGCAAAGCAGACATTTGATATAATTTAATACTTAAGCGCATGTGCAAGCAACAACAGCAATTTAAGTAGAATTTTAGATTTAATCTCTCAGACAAATACATCTCGTTAAGTTCTTTTATACCTATGTAATCAGTATTATTAAGCAGTCATGCAAAATTTAAAGCTATGCGAAATGAATTCCAATAAATTTGTATTCTCTATTTACACCTTTGTGCTTCCTTAATAAATAAATGTTCATAGGTGTAAATGTACTAGCTATGTATTTATGTATTTATACATAGTTATTGCCGTGATTTTATGCATATGAGTATCTTAATTTTAAACCCAGTTCAATTTAGAACACAACAATGAATAACCATATTTGATAAAACTGAATTTGTATAATGACATTAGAAGGATTTTAAGCTGTTAAACAATTTGGCTATGAATTTCCTAAATCTCATTACATTTCCAATTAATAATACATACTAGATTCGACTGAAATAGTTGCGCAGTGTAAAATTTTCCAAGAATTGATTTGTAAAGAGATTTAATAATGCCTAAAACCATTTACAATTTGAAAATCACCACAAAGAGCTTCTGAGAATTTAGAAAAATTTAACTAATATTTTACGATTGATGACTGCAGGCAATGTAGATATTTAATGGGATAATAGAAACATAAAACAGTTGAATTTTATTCATTTTTTTAACCATTTAAAGATAATATCATATATTACACCAATACACCAGAGGAGGTCATAAATTTGTTGGTATAGAGGTGGATATACAAGTATGTAAATCGGAAGAAACCGTCGTCATTAAAGAAAATTCAGTTTGTGCATATGATGCAGTGCCTCAGTAGCCAAGGGAAACGACCACAGCAAGTATTCGTAACTCAGTACTGAGTGAAACTACATATAGAGAAATGTGCCTCCCTTCTGAAAAAAAAAAAATGTGACTTAGTAACTCAGTGCTGCATCCTTAGCTCAGCTATTATAATCGCAGAGTTATCATTGTGGTCCTACCCGGTGCTGGGCATTTGCAACTGATGAGTTGCAGCGCCATGTCTACCACCGAATGCCGTAATATATGTATGGTAGGTAGGTACATAGGTGTGGTTGCCACTGCTACGTAGGGACACACATAGGCACACACAATTTGAAGACCCGTTGTGATACCGGAACTAAGAGTTTTCACTCCCCCTTGCTGAACCATTTCGAATCCTTGCGATATTCGTAAGGCCCGTAGGATTTAAATCTCCCAATTGTTCAAAGTAACTGAAGAAAGGAAACCCTAGAAAACGCAATCTACTAGATAATGCCGTACAGTTACAGAGAAATGGAGAAATGGAAACTTGTGTTTTAGTTTTTCTTGAGGAAAGGGTGTGGTCTTTGAAGCACTCAGATGAGTGATTGATCTATTGACTCAAGACTGACGTTGTTGAATGCCCCTTCTATGTCCAAAAACAGCCGACAAAGTACAAAATAGTTTTTCATTTTAACTTTTATTTCAACATAGATTGATTGGAAGAAAAATACTGATAAAAATAAAATATTTCACACAAAGAGGGTTGAAATTTTGAAATTCCTGCCCATATTTTGTTTGTAAGTCCAATATTAATGGCATTGTACTACTATGATAGCACGGCCGAGTAATCATAGTCAACTTATGTACAGTAGTCGAAAAAATTATAGCCGCACCAAATTTTGACAAGTTTTCAAATTTTGGTTTTTGTTGTTATTTAATTTTGGTTAGTTTTTTATAGTTCATTCTTTAACAACATCCGCATAAATACAAGTTTAAAGGCAGTGTCCCACGATTGTATATTTGCTGAAATTTGGTGCAAATCGTATCCAAATTGTGTGAATACCAAATATTCTCCTTTATCCCAATCACGAAAAATAATTTGTTGGAATAGAAGATTGCAATATTTTGACTACAAAAAAAAAATGTTCCCAATTTTTTATTTTGTAACAAAAGCCTAATACAAAAATGTACCAATCTAGTTGCACTGCCTTAAAAATTTATGCAATTTAAAAAAAAAATTCGCCAAATTTTCGTTAAAATTTCGAGTTTTTTAATTAAATTCTGAATATGCAGTTTTGTAGCCCCTTGAATTCTAGTAGAATAAAGTACAAGTTTCTCATGGCTAAAAATTACAGTTGATTTTTTTAGAATTTTTAAAAAAGATCAAAATTTGTAAGAAAGCTTGTTGATTTTTTTTTATTTTGCACAAAGTTGGAAACTTGGATTTTCACGGGGTTTGTTAAAGAATGAACTTTTTTTTTATAAAAAAAAATAACCAAAATTAAATAACATCAAATATAATACGCTAAAACTTGGCAAAAAGTGGTTCGGCTATAATTTTTTGACCACTGTATGTATTTCTTATATATTTAATTGGGCATGCACATCATACTACATAACGGTATGTACTACACAATCTCGGTATCCCGGGATTAGTCCCGGTATTTAGATGTTCATTACTTTTCAACAACTGAAATCGAACAAATTGTTTCTATATTGTTTGAGAAGCTCTCCTACCATAAAATAAATAATAAATAAATGGGTTTGATACCTACTTTATTATTTAAAATGGCATTTTTGTTTTTTTTTTTTTTCTCTCTGACGTCAGTATTTATTTTAAAGGACTTCGTAATTTCAAACATATGAAATGAAAGAGGAAATTCCTTTAGAATGTCAGAACAACTAAACCGATTATTTCCCTAGAAGGGAAGAAAATAATTTATATATCCGAATATGGCCTCCTTTTTTCACATTGCATCGTGTCTGCGAATTATCACGAATTTAGGCGCATTTTCGGTAGCTTCGATTCGGACATCTATGTTCTTTTTATGCAAACGAATATGGGAGATTATAAACCTCTCCACGGTTTAATTAAAAAATGTAATCAACAACAGGCAAGTGGTTTCCAAATAATCAGATGTGCAAATGAAACAAATATAAATGCATTATCTTTTATTGCAGCTAAATTTTGTAGATAAAACAGCATGATTTGCATTCACATGCACGCGTATATATATATATATATATATGTATGTGTGCGCATGTGAGCTATGTACTTAAAAAATAATAAATGAGAAAAATGCTAATATTTGTTCATTAAGAAACTGCTTTGACTATGATTTTCAAAGGGAGAGCTGGTGAGAGCAAAAAAACAACAAACTTTATGTTAATTAGAGTATGTAGTTAAGCCACACACACTCTTATCACTCAACGCCTCAGTGAGTGAGTGAGCTATTTGTATATTTTGTTAGATAACACTCTCTCCCTTATCTACATACAAACATGGGTACATACTTATATATTTATATATGTGTTGCCATATACTAGTACTACATAAAATTAGACAAAAAAATAAAGGAATGTATAAAATAGAATTTTACGAATACATACTTAGTAAAAATTTTCAGAACGTAATGCCAAATTATTATCTCCTTTCGGTCGGAATTCTTAGTAAAAGTAAAAAGCGTCTGCATTTTACCTACTATAGAAAGTCTCTAATAGACATTTTTGTTTCTTTAAGGAGTAGTTACAGAAATTTATAAAAGCTTAAAAATTTTCAGTTGGATTTTTTTTTTGCTGAGTACAGAAACTAAGATTTGAGGTAATGTACCAACTTTCAAGCAGAGTGAAATTTCGAAAACAAAATAGTTAGGGCCTTTCTTTATTAATGTAACGGTATACTCTTATAATAGATAGTTTGACATTTTTCAGATTTTGAAACATCCATTTTAATATAAATTAGTCCCATACTAATGCTTGTTAATAGAACCCACTTAAAAACTTGATAAGTGCCTTAGCAGATTGAATCACAGAAGTGAATTAAATTGTAGACAAAGCCCAAAATTCACTATATGTAGTCATGAAGAAGAAATATTTGCTTTAATTGAGGAAAAACTCTGCGAATTATATTAAAAAGTCTACCAACCGTTTTTTTTTTTTAGTTGTGCCTCTTTTGAAGATTGTGTTCGAATTATCTCTTCTATTACAACACTTTTTTATAAGCGGAATCTTAATGGTAAGACACATTTTACATTCTCTTTCCATATCTCTCTCTCTCTCTCCCTAGTTATCATAAATATTCGAATCAAATGTCAACTATGTTTTCAAACTTTTAAACTACTCGCTACACACTTCGTCACTTATCATGTATTTAGATTAATTACACTACTCACCTAGCGTGGACGTTGCGGTGAATTTAATTTAATTTATTTACCCAGAATTATGAGTTCAATAACCGAGTACGACAAAGACGAACTGGTGCCGCCGCAATGGCTGAACAATGCCTTCTTTGAGCAAGTCTTGCAGCCGCAAAGCAGTAAGGGGAAAATTAAAATAACAAAAATATAACAATCGAGCCCGCCACCAAAAAGGGTGAACACTACGCAAGTGTAATGTACCGAGCCAGCGTGACGTTTACTTTACCAACCGACTGTGATGCCGCGCCACGGCAGCAAAGCAAATCATTAATTGTGAAGGCATTACCTGCGCTGCGGGGCGAGAAACAACGGCTGCTGCAGGACTCCAAGCTCTTCGAAACCGAAATCGGCATTTACACTGAAATCGTGCCAAGGCTGGAAGAGGCATTGCAGTTGGCAGGCGAATGCGTACAATTTGGCGCCAGGTAGAAAATGTATTGGAAACTTGAAAAAAGAAAACTTTAATATATGTGTATGTATGTAAATATGTATGTATATGAAATAGTACAGCTGCCTCTACAATACGCTCAAGCCCCTAAAAGTATTGGTGTTTGAAGATTTAACAGAGCTGGGCTATGAAATCGTGCGCATGCGTGCGCTAACTGTGAACGAAATTAAAGCAGCCTATCGTAAGTTGGCCAAATCGCATGCGGCAAGCTATAAACTAGCAAAGGAGGTTGGTGCTTTGAATTTTTATTTGCTTTAAACTTTGATTTAAAATGTGATTTGCTTCCACATTAATTGCCAGCGCCCTGAAATCTGCCATAAATATCGCCATAGCTTCATGACTATTCCATACATTGTGAATAGCTCCTTCATATCGAGCGGTATCAAAAACTTCATCGATATGCTAGGCTCCGTGCCTACTTTGGCAGTATATAAGCCGTACTTTCTGAAACTCCAGCCAGATTGGGCTGCCAAATGTCGCGCCACATACACCGAATATTTCTTGAACCACCAGCAGCAAACCTACTATGGCATTTGCCATGGCGACTTACTTGGCAATAATTTAATGTTCAAACATAATCGTGTAACCGGCGAGTTAGCGGATGTGCTGCTGGTGGACTATCAACTTGCCTATATGGGGCCACTGGTCAACGATCTCATCTATGCCTTCTACATGCTCTACACCGCTGAGCAGCGTGCCAACAATCGAGAAGAGCTCTTACAGTATTATTTTGAGAGTTTCATGCAGGCTTTGAAAAGGCTTGGCTGTTCGGTGGAGGCGTTAAGTTTTGAATGTTTTCAGGAGCAATTGAAGCGGAAAAAAACTTTGGGTAAGTGGTATGCCAATAAGGCGAGAGTTTACGATTTATTCTAGATAATAGTAGCGGTGGAATGATAACGGTATAGCCAACTATAATGCCAACAATAAAGATAACAGTATCGCTTTAGAATTTCGTTTACAATTTTGATTACAATAACGCTTATTTTATATGTACATATATAAAAATTAAAATAGATTTGAAGAGCTTTAAGAAGTGAAATTTTCAAACAAATTTTCGATTTATCCTACTGTAGATCTCGGGAAGTCATTGCGATAGAATAGAGAAACTCGGTACGGAGATATATCATATCAATACCATACTCATGGAGAAAAATGGGCGTTATTGGGGAAGGAACGCGGGGCACCTTCCAGACAAACTGAAATAAAAAAATTAAATTCAACTTGAATTAAGGGAATTGGGTAGTCGAAATATGTTATTACAACGTGGGTGTCAGACAGAAGAGGTTTAGGAAGGTTGTAGTATGAAAATATTTTGAAGAGCGTTACCACCTGTTTGAAAAGTGGAATTAAATTGTATTATATACAAATTGTATGAAATATTAAAACAAAAGAGTTTTGACATAACTTTTGTTTGAACATTTGGATAAGTTAGATAATAGGGTTGCCGCCTGTTAATATATTAAATCCAATTCAAATTGTTTATTAAGTTAATTTAACTATTGCAATATGGCTGTCAACCGAAATAGTTTTGCAAAAGCCGTATTTCTAAATGACATTTAGGGGGTTGCCAACTGCTTAAAAATTCAAATTCAACTTGAATTAAGGAAATTAGATAATTGAAATATGTATCACAGTATGGGTGTCAAACGAACGAGGTTTAAAAAGATTGCAGTTTGAAAATATTTTGAATAGGGTTGCCATCTGTTAGAAAAATTGAACTTAATTAAGTTATACACAAGTTATATCATGTATTAAAATATGCGTTTGCAACGAAATAGGGTTAGGAAAATATTTGTTTGGACGCTTGCAAAATATTTGAGGTGCTTGGGGAGTATTGGGCCCTGTTTAAAAAGTCATATTCAAATTATCTAATAAGTTATAATATAATATATTATTATATTAAATGAAATATGCTAATATTAGTATTAATACAAATGGTTTTGAAAAGGCCTCATTTCGAAAACAAAGTACGGGGTGCCACCTGTTTATAAATCCAAACTCAACATCAATCAGGGGCATTAATTAATCGGAATATATAACATTAAATATGTAAAGTTGTATTGAATTAAATTACACTTAACGTTACACGCAGAAATTTCCAATACTCAGCGAAGCGGGTCACGACAAACTAGTTTATTATGAAACATTTTCAGCAGTAAGCTTTCCTAAACCTCTTTAATTTGATAAATAAAATCAAATTAAATTTCCAAACAGATGGAAACCTTCAACAAAAATATTCTATCCTGTAAGCCTTCTTAAGCTCCTCTCTTGTCGGAGCCATATTTCAATATTTACTTTATCTTATCAATTTACTTAAACTTCCATTTCCAAACAAATGGCAACTCTCTAATTATTTTTTTCCTTTATTTCAAGTTGGATCTTGAGCAATGCAGCGGTGAAAACCGCATTTAATTCCATGTATTAGTTTTCGAGTGATACGCGTGCAAACATACATACAGACAAAAATTCTAAAAATTGTTGATTTGGCTTCTGTTGCTCTAATAAAGACCCATAAATAAACAGTCTTTTTTACAGCACTCTTCCTCCTGCTCAGCTTTCTGCCCATACGCTATGCACTTAGCGCCGGTCTATTGGATAGAGATCACATGATGGCCACCGACGAAGAGCGCACCGAGCTCTATTATAATAAAAACTACATCGCTGAATTACATAATATTTTGCCAATGTATTTGCATTTTGGTTATTTACAATAAAAAAATTTATGTAAAAAAAAAAAATATTTTCAGATTCATTGTAGTAACTTTAAGATTACTCCATTTTTTTACTGCTCAAAATAGCCCAAATGTAAAAATCGCGGCAGCAACACTCGCAGCTCATTCACAATTTTTGATTTCGTATAATATGCTCTCCGCTCTGCATCCGATTCAACCAGTTTATACACCTCGATGCTGTCATCTACAAAGCCATAGTTAAAGATCAACAATGTGAACAACAAGAAGAGACCTGGTGGGGAAAAGTTCGGTAAGTTTTAAAGCATTCAAGCAAATTCCTTAAAGCTGAGAGAAAAAATATTTGTATCTACCCCAGTGCCGATGTTCTTGCAATTCTGCTCTGAATTCTGTAATTGTTGGTATGTGACCCGGATACTGCACTCTGCGCAACGTGTCTTGGAAATTCGTTATGTAGTAATAAAGCAACTCGTCCATGTGGTCACGCCTCATATCCGGACTGTAAAACATTACGAATACATAATGCAGATCAATTGCGGCCGAGCCGAAAATGCTGAGTTGATAATCGAGCTGTGTGAAAAGCAAGGACGTAATGCAATAAATATACATAGAATATATGGCACCGCATAATAAACAATATACAGAGGAAGTATTTTGACTTAAGCCGAAATGTGAATTTATGACAGAGTCAGTTAGGAAAGAAGGATACGTCAAAACGACGCCACCTGTGTTACTTCAACTGTGTTTTTACTCCGCTGACGCTGCTAATTTACTCATCGCTGAATTCCGATTAGCACATTCGTTTTGTACTTCGCGAGCTGTTAAGCTCTCTGCTCTAATCCGCTCGCTCGTAATGCAAGTAATTAGGTATTATTATCGTACCTCCCTGCGAGGAATTTTTGATTTGCACTTGACACTTCTTCTGCATATTGTTTAAGCCATGAACCGATTTACTTACCAACAACAATTCACGCAGCTTGCTATCGCCATTTTTCACCATTACATTCTTCACATGAACATCGCCATGGTTCAGCACTTGAATGCCGCTACGTTTGCCATTCGTGTACGCATTCAATACATCCAATGCCTTGGGTATCAAAAACTTTTCAGCTGCTTCAATATGGGGCAAATATTCTTGTAGATCCGGCGCATCTCTGACTATTTCTTTAGTTAATTTAATGCCATCTCTCAGCACAGGGAAGTTCGGTATATCCACTGTGTTTATGAAGTGGTTATGAAAGCTATTGACGACTTGGTCGCCCTGGCATTCAGATGAAAGAAAATATATGTATATATGTATGTGAGAAGTGGATTGGGTAAAAAAAAAATAATTCAATTCAATATTTAGTACCTCACGTGCAAATTTAAAAGTAATCGCATGGATTTTAGCCAATTTAAGTAGTGCTAATTTGACTTCGTCTAAAGTACCACGACGATTATTAATGGTAGAGTAGCCGTCGGCTACAAGGTCCTCAAACACTACACATTGTGGCGATTGAAGGCTGTAGTGGAATAATCTAAAATAAGGACAGCAAAAAAATTAAAAATAAAATAGTTCAGCCTTTACTGTTTCGACGCAAACCGTCATCTCAAACGCACTTGGGACTGAGCACTGTTTTATCGCCAATCGCTCGCAACTCTGCCTCAATTTTCGGCAACACCTTCGTATACATGCGAATTTCAGTTTCGAAGAGCGGCACCTGCTTCATTTTATCCTTCTTTATACCATCCACATTTGGCTCAGTTTTCATTATAAACGAAAGCGACTTCTCCTCTTTGGGCTTGGAGCACAGAGCATAGTTGAGCTTTGCACGAAAAAGTACACTCGAGTAGTGATCATTCTTGAGGGTGCCGGGAGAGAGCAGCAAGGTGTTGATCTGAAAATTTAATTCATTTAAATATATATATACTAACTTTATTGACACCAAAATAAGTATGCCCTTCACACCTTCACACTTTCACTTTCGGTTTTATCGAGTATCCGCTTAAAGAATTCCTCATTTATCCAGTTTGGCGGATTCAATTCATCCTCATTGTAAATATTGCTGTTAACCATATTTGAAATGAAGTGTTTGAATGGAATTAAATTTCGATTTTATTTCCAAAATAGTCGGAAGCTCTTTGATTAGCGCTCAGCAACTTGCAATGCTTTTATAGCCAATGCCGAAATATTTTTGTGAGCACACTTAAGCAAAAAGTTTCTTATCATAAGAAAATATTGAGCATGCACACATACATATATGCATAAGCATTCGCTCAATCAGCTTCTGGCAGACTATTTTTTTATTTAAATATTTAACGCTTTAATGCTTATATACTTAAACTTTGAGTGTCCGCTTGCAGAAGAAGCAAGTATATTGCAATTCGTTTCATTTAATGCATACATGCACACATATGCACGTACATACTAGGGGAGGCAGAAAAGTTTTGGGCCTAGGGTATAAAAATAGCGGATAGAAATATTTGTGGGAAGCAGGCATACGGTATGACTCAAAAAGGCAAAAAAAAACTAGTTCTAGAGTTCCTGAGAAGGAAAAAAGAAATTTCCGCAAAATACACCGAAAAAAAATATTTACTTCAAAAAAGAAGAAAAAGTTAAATTTTTTAAAATAATAAAAATTAAAGCTGTTCTGTACAGCTTTTCATAAGCTCTACTATTCCTGAAAAGTTTTAATTAATATTTTTTTCAAAATTTTAAAAAGTTTGACTCTTTTGAAAAATATGTTTTTTTCGGCGTAATTTAGCAGAACATTATTTTCCTTTTCAGTAACTCCAGAACTATGTTATAGTCAGCGAACAGAATACTCAAAAAAAAAAAACATTGGTAACGGCAGCGTTTGGACGCCCTGGCATGGGATCATCTTCCAGCGAGTCTCTGCCATGCGTGAATTCTCGGCTCCAACGTTTTGCGGTGAAGGTCAAATATTTCCATCGGCGTTTTATTTTTCTTCTTTGTGAGGAATTTGACGATTTTCACGAAGACAATTTAAGTGAAAAATGATTTAAATTTTTTGAATTTTATATGGAAATTGACAGAAAATAAAAAATCATTTTCCATTTAAATTGCTAGTCAAACCGACTGTGTGGCGACGAAGTATAATAGAAATTAGTAACACGCAGTACTAGATATTAATTGCACTCAAAGATAATTATGCTCAAGACTTTTCAGCCTCCCCTCGTAGAATACAATCTGTTATTTGTCAGCAGTAGTTCTGCATTCAATGATAAATAAGTAAGAATCGCCAGAATCACTTAAAATATTGACCCATATAAATTTGTATGAAAACTGTTGAAAAGGAAACAAAAAATATTTCAATATAAGGGAATATGCGCGCTTTAACTTCGAACGCGTTGATCTGAGAAGAAAACATTTTATTTTTGTAAGACACATTCATAATTAAATATATAAATATATTCACACGTACAGAAACTCTTATCAATCTTTTAAGGCAGGCACATGCTTATGGAGTTCAGCCTGCGCTGCTCACCACTGTCTTAAACAAATATTCACCGACCATAGCTACAAAAAAAAAGAGCTCATACCGCTTCTCCTACCGCACGCATTACTATTTCCAATTTACCTAGTCTGTCTAAAGCCTGGGTGAATTTCCTTAATTTATGTTTCTTGGATAGCATATCCGAGGCCCGTTATCCATAATGTCAGCTTCGAGGTCATTTGATCATCAAATAGGACAAAAAATTCATTCAATAAGAATAAAAAAATAAAAATTTTTGTTTTTGTTGCCGCTGAAACCAAATAGGGGTAACAGAATTCAGATTCGCATTAATATAGGGATATAGAGGTTTGGTTCAATATGCAGAAACTTTGCTTCTCTTGTAAATCTGTGTAATTATTGAGATCTTTTTAAATCCCTCCAAAGCCAGATTTTTTTAAAGATCAACCACTTTGTGCTTTGTAACTAAGTATATTTTGGTCCTATCTCCCCTTACCAATTCGTCTGCCACACAGTGACCTATCTGTGTGCCTGGAAATCCAAGTGGGGCTAAGGCTGTTGTATTTATGTGGGCATCTCTTTAGAGATCCTCGTCAGTCCACGGAGACCACAGCCTTAATTTCAGCCTAGCTGTGACAATTTTGCGTATATTTAAAGCCACTGAAATAGCCGGAAACCTCAGGCTGGAATGCACAACGGTAGTCTTGAAAATCTTGAAAATAGTTATAGTAAAGTGGTATCGGTTTATGACTTTTTATTATTGCAATCGATATTTAAATACATATTGTTACGATTATCCTTGACTACTAAACGGATTTACCAAAAATCGCTGGATTGTTAAATAAACGCTCACGATAACCATATTACAGTACAATTAACTTTATTGTACAATAAACATTTTACAATACTTATGTTTATTCAACTGTTTATGTAATAACAGCAATTAACAATACTTGTTAAGGCAATTAAAACATTTGCTAACACAATTGATCTCTGTTTTACAACCTGACTTGTAGCTTTCTGATTCGCAACTACCTTGCCACAAAGTTGTCTGATAGCTTGCTGACTTTCAACTATGTAACTCACTTCGCTGTAGCAGCGGCTTTAAATACCTGCACTGCCACTCATGGTAAGCCTAGAACGTTCTGATGCTTATCGCTCATCCTCTCATTCTCGCTTGACGTTTCTCACTGTCGAATATTCTACGTCATCCCTCGAACATTCTGCCATTTTCTTTTTGTTCGCTCCGCGTTGCCGCAGTATTCGCCACAATATGTATCCACATCGATATTTATACTAACGATTTTAATGTTATCATTGCTATGTACTACATTTTCGATACTAATATCAGATTATCTCAACAAATATTTACATATCTCACTATTAATATCGAATTTAGTTTTCGTTAGTTAGTCGCTATCGATATTGTTATCTGTATAGTTAGCGATGTAGTTTTCACAGTTGTTTTTTATATAATCAATTGCATACTTCCGATATTAATATCGGTTTCTATCGTTATCGATATTTACATCGTTATCCACATCGATACTGAGCAAAATTGATGGCTTCGTACTTCCTGTCGTCACTATTGCAATTTCCATTAGCTCTAATATTTAGGTCAGTATCTGCAAATTCACACCCTCTGAAAAATTCGTTAGAATTTTCGTTATTTGTTGCTGAAACTGTTTGAGCGACATCAACGTTTGTAAAATGTTGCATTGGGTATTCCAAATTATCCCTATTAGATTACCTCCTACCTGTGTATTAGACTACCTCCAGTAGACCACTACCCTTCCATATATCACCGAGTGTTTCTCGTAGCACGCTCATTGTTTCGTTGATTACTTGGAAGTTCTTCCAGATTACCTCGTTCTATTTCTTCAATATATTTGCGGTAGTATCTTGTATGGAGAATTAATTTCGTAAAAGCTCCAGCAAATACTTTTCGTTGTTCTTGCTCTTTCTAGTTTTCCAGTCAATTTCTTTACATGTTACCGCAGTTTACTAGCGTCAAATTCGAATTTCTAAAAGTTTTTCAGATTTACTTGGTCTCTTTAGCGTTATTTTTTACAAATACTGTTTGTTTTTAAGTAAAAATTTTAGTTTATGTTAGTTAATTTTTGGCTTTTCATGAAAATTGTGGGCAATATTTCCTACAAAAATTTTATTATTTTAAATTTTAACAGTCTGATAAATTTAAAATTGATTGGAGGCACCGAGCACTATGTATGTATTTAAAAAAAAATATCATAATTAGAGCGTAATTTCGCAGGCCTGTGTTATTTATACTAACTTTTTACGCGCGCGGATTTTTTAATAATATCAACTAATTTTAGCTCAAAATCTTAGATATCATTATCGGTGTTATTATCTATCAGTTTCGTTATCTTTATCGTTTTCGTTGTCTGTATTAATGTTGTTGTAGCTTGCGTTATCGAAATTTGTATGTACATATTATTATTGTTGATGACGTCATTATAGCTTTTGTTTGGCATTTTATTTGTCTCTCAATTTATGTGCTTACCCGAAAATTCATTTGTCTTTATTTCCTTATTTGCATATAAAACCACAACGCATTTAATCGTAAGCTGCTCTTATCTTTTATGACTGTTTTGCTTTTCGGAATTCAGTACATTTTCAGCTATTAAGAGTTTAGCGAGAGTTAACAATGTTGACACCTAGAAGAAATGTAGCTTAATAAATAATAATAAAATAAACTTCTGAGAACCAATTTTTAGTTCAATGAAAGAAATGAAGAAATTTAGGTAAAAAATTTTGCTTTTGAGCCTCAAACGCCGTTAGTTGTGGCTGCAGAGTAACTCTAAGCGTGATTTTGATGCGATAGATGTCGCAGCGCATTGCTATTAAAATTTCTATTCGACTTCAAATGTTTTACTTAATATTTATGTTTTGAATAGAAAAAAATCGAACAGTACTTCGTACCTTCCTCCTACTTATTCGACTTCAACTTCAATTTCAGCTTCCATTCACGCAACAAACAGATGGAAAGCAAACAACACTGCCATACTCGATTGTCTAAAATACTAAGCTCGTAAAATAAAATAGGAAATCAAAACAAAAACAAAAAAGGTGAAAGCGAAATCCTACTCCAGCGCCTAAACTGCGCCACTTGTTTGCTCTTCCGCTGGCGAAGCAATTAAGTGGCCACCCGCCGTTTACAACAAATACAAAGAATGGTCGCATACATATATGCAACTACAAACATCCTATATACATATGTATACATACATATATACATATATTTTCGGCGTTTGCTGCACAATGGCAATCAAGGCCGAGGGAAAGGGAAGCCATTTACTCATGTGGCAATCAGCATCCGCATCCACATCCGCTTCGATTGCATATTAAACAAGTTTGATTGCCTGGCGTTGAATGGTAAAAAAAAAAACAAATAAAAAATCACACAAAAATGCAGCAGTTTTTATGCCTAAAATGTTAACTAAAAATAAATTGAATTGAGAGAAAAATGCTGCACGCATCACTGCAAGCCTGCACTCACACACATGCAGACCAACCGAGATGTACAAAAAAAATTCAAATTTGTCCGCCAACAAAATGAAAATCAAAACAACATATTGTA